TTTAAAAACATTTTTTTTGTTAAGTTTTTAATTTAATTCTTTTAGTTTCGAATTTAATTAGTTTTCATTTTATTTAGTTTCGATTCAATTATTTTTTAGAAAATTTATTTAAGAAAAGTCTTTCAAATAATATTTTTTAAAAATATTTTATTTGCTTTTTTTATTATGTAAACGCGAACACAAACGCGTACAAACTCCAAACGCGCAAAACTGCAGTCAAACGCCTACTGTACGCGCCAAACGCGTACGTGTATAATAGTGCACCTTAGTGATTCACAGTCAAAATTTTAAATCTCTTTTTTATACATAAAAATTTTTTAAGTTCTGATTTTCAAAAAATGTAATAATGAAGCATTGTTTCATTCTGATCAATGTAAACGCAGTTTACATTGATCAGAATGAAACAATGCTTCATTATTATATAAAGTATAGTACACTGTTTGTTATTAGAATCAAGCTTGGACTGGGTCGCCGGGATACCGGGAGATTCCCGGTTGCCCCCAAAAAAGTTATCATACTTTTAGATAGGCTACATTTTATTTTCGTTGATTATTATAATCAACGGTTAATTAAAATGTAACCAAAAACATAATAACTTTTTTTTGGCCTCTAATTACATTTAATTGCGGGCTAATACTTTTGCCGGCTAATTATATAAATTTTGGCGGCCATCTTTAGCTGACCGAAAGTAGTATTATATTAACGTAAACAAACCATATTAGTTAACAAATGTTAAACTATTTAAATTATAATATAATTCTTTATAGCTTTAAATTTATTGTTTTTTGTGTATTGTTCACTGACAGAAAAGTCACAGTTTGGTATTATTGATAATATTTTGTTGTTATAAATTATGTTACTATTTATGTTGTTGCACTGTATTTTGTTGATTGCACAGCGAAATTTTGTTGTCAAGTATTAAGTATATGAACTCAGTGGCTGATTAAGGCAAAAGCAAACATGGTGTCTCCCATAGGCTGCTGCCTATGGGAGACACAAGGCCCAGGAGCGCCACAAGAAAAAAGAAAGTAAAAAAACAAAAAATAAAATTAAAATAGAAAGAAAAAGTAAAGTCATCTAAAGCTTTAATTTTTTTTTTTACTTTTTTGCGGTTTCATCCGAATTAATTTTTCTAATAATTCTGCAAATGTTTAGTATTCGAAACTCAAATACTATTTATCATTATTTCGTAAATAAATAACGTAAATATATAAATAATCAAGAAAGACAAGTTATTTATTTTTTGTACTTTGACATGTTACAAACATTTTATGATACTTCTATATCAATCAAATTCAATAATGATGTCCGTTACAGAGCGAAAGCTCTTTTAGATTCATTGATAAGTTTTAAATTTATTTTGACGGCACAATTGTTTTTAAAAGTATTTGAGCACACAACGCCATTGACTGAATATTTGCAAACAACTGGAATGGATATACTAAGAACTTATAAGATAGTTCAAGACAGTATTATTAAACTTAGCAAAGTAGATAGATATTTTGATTCCGTTTTTCAAGCAGCGACAAATTTCAAACCAGTAAAACTTGGAAAAAAGAATCTCGACATTGAAGTTCAGTTTAAAAGAGGAAAGAATAAGAGCAAATCAACTACTTGAATGTGCAAACGGTTAAATGGTTGTGTCAACGGTTTTGACACAATTGACACAAAAATTGAACGGTTTTGACACAATTGACACATAAATTGAACGGTTTTGACACAATTGACACAAAAATTGAACGGTTTTGACACAATTGACACAAAAATTGAACGGTTTTGACACAATTGACACAAAAATTGAACGGTTTTGACACAATTGACACAAAAATTGAACGGTTTTGACACAATTGACACAAAACTTGAACGGTTTTGACACAATTGACACAAAAATTTTGTGTCAATGTTCACAACATGGTAATGGATCAAGTAATCAGAAGTTTAAACAGAAATTCTCAGAACATGGTATTCTTCATGCTGATTTATCTTGTTTAGATCCAAGAAATTTGCCGAAATTTTGAAAAAATACCTTGTGACGCATTGCAGCACCTAAGTGGTTTGCTCAGAAAATTTGATGTTAGTGTAACAAAAGGTCAGCTTCAAACGGAATTATTGGACTTTGCAAAGAAATGGGAAAGTTTTGAAAGGGATTTTATCTTAGATCTCATATAACCAATTATAAATTAGAAAAAACTATTACATAAATAATAAAATTTGTTGAATAATAAAAATTATTTTTAATATATGATTGCAATATAAATAATTAACTATATGAGATTAGTTATATGCAATCATATATTAAAAAAAATTATATTGATGAATAATAACATCTACATAAAAAGTTAATGATTACTAAAGATGTAGTTACATTTTTTCTATAATGTTGAGAATAACTACATCTGTAAAACTACATCTGTGACCATATGTGATCAATTCTACAGATGTAGTTACATCTTTTAATTTCTGACATAATTGAGAAGATGTAACTAAAAAAATTCAGATGATCTTGGATAAAAGTGTACGGATGATTTTGGACTACTCGACAGGTGTTGCTGGATAGATGTAGTAATCTTTTATTAATTTAATTCAGTTTTGAATTTAGTTATTTATTTTAATACTTGAAAGAAATTAATTTTGGTGTGATGAAATAAAGTTTTAGTATTTACCCCTGCGGACATTTTTTTTTTAAAGTTACGTTCTAAATGTATTTTAAATGTCTTTTAAACGTTTTCTAAACGTTCTTTCAACTCATTGAAAACCATCTTTCACATTTTTAATCATCATTTTTATAACACATTATCATATTCTTTTATAATTTTTACTATCGTAAGTCTTAGTGGTATTAACTGCTTGCATTTCTGGCATGTTGCTACGTCTCTGAGCCAATTTTAATGCTTTCAAGAGTTTCTGCGGAAGAAAAATAGTGATCTTCAATGATACGTCAAGCAACAAGTGATTTCTCCTTCAAGTTTTCAAGTAAAGGTTGCTTATTAATGCTAAAACCACATTCAATCAATGAATGTCCATCTGAGGGCTCAAAAATAAATATAAACACTTTGCAAACCTCTTCATAATCTTTATTTTTCTCATTGAAGTCAGAAAAAAATTGATCAAACTAAACACTTTAAAGGTCAAAGTTCTGAAATTCATTTTTATTGATGTCAACAACTAATAGTTTTTATAACGCTTTTTCACCAACTCTGCATACTAAGGTTACAGATGATCGCAGTTTACAAATTTTTTGCAAAAATTAGTAAATTGTGAATAAAATACAAAAACTGTTAATGCAGACTTTGCTTACTAACATTTTCCCTTCTTTTCTAAACTTCATTCCTACAAGTGACTCTATTCTAATCAGGGTCGGACTGGCTTGAAACAATATCCTGGGAAATTTGGTCATGGCGGCCCACTTCATCTTATGTTTCATATATTTAATATAGTAAATAATATAATATACAGGAGCCCGGGAGCCTTCACACCAACCCCAAATAGCACATTTATTTTTCTAAATTTACCCATATTATCAGTGAAGGACGTTTTTTTATCTTTAGGTGTCTTTTTTAGTATTTTTTGTTATTTTACGTATAAAAAAGGACTTTTAAATTTCCCTGCCTAAATATTGATAAAAAAAAAAAATTCTAAATCACTGCTGTAAGTTGGAGTCTAAAAATAGTAGACAATTCACTATTTCATCGACTTTGTTTTTCATTGACTTTTTCATTGACTAGTAACTTTTTCATCGTTTGACTAGTCGATGTCAAAACATGAATGATTTCATTGTAATTAGTTTTTGGAAAAAGATACTTTTCATAAGACATCAAAATGAGTGATTGTAAACTTGTCTGGCTTAACAAATTTCTTTATCTTTTCAAAATATATTTCAATTTCAAGAATGACCTTTCACAATAAACTTGTAATGAGAATAATGTCAGGGTCGCACTGGCTTGAAAAAACGGCCCGGGGAAGTTTTGGTCATGGCGGCCTACTTCATTGTATGTTCCATTATTTCTACTATTTCTAGTCTCCAACTTACAGCAGTGTTTTAGAAGTATTTATTTTTATCAATATTAAAGCTGCGAAGTTTAATATTTCTTTTTTATACTTTAAATGATAATAAACGAGTATGCACCTAAAAATGAAAAGGTCTTTACTAATAAAATAGGTAAATTTAGTAAAATAATGGCGTTAATCATGGTCGCTGCCCCTATATATATATATATATATATATATATATATATATATATATATATATATATATATATATATATATATATATATATATATATATATATATATATATATATATATATATATATATATATATATATATATATATATATATATATATATATATATATATATATATATATATATATATATATATATATATATATATACATATATAAACTTTATAGTAGTTCTCGAAAACATAAACTTACGGTTTTCTACGAGTCCTCGCGTTTTTTTTATTTCTGAATAACACAGGGCCGACAACGCCGGGGGGGCCAAGGGCATTAAACTCCCCCCCCCCCTCCCTAACCCTAAACTTTTTTCTAAAGGACCTTTTTTTTTTTAAGAAAAGTCTTCATATAGAAGACTTTTTTCTCAAATTGATAATTGTGACCCCCCACTTCAAAACCTATGTTATCGGCCCTGTAACAATGATGTTAATTTTTATTATATTTTTGTCTTTTATATTTTATGACGGATTGCTTTTTTAAAATGTAATAAATAATAATAAATATAAAATAATAAAATAATTCATAATAATAAAAAATATTTTTAATATTATAGTAAATTACTATAACGCTTTTATGTAATCTGTTTCTAGTCAACACTAAACTATGTATTATTTAAAAATATACGCTGTTTTATCGTTTATTCTGATTTCTAGAGCGTGACAATATTACAAAACTAATTGCTTTAAATAGTACGTCGCAAAGCTTGCGATAACAATACGCTTTATAAATTTGTTTTACATTAAAATTAGTTTACGTTTAAGCAAAACAATTAACTTGAAATATTTGAATTTTAATTACGCTTTATTTATAAGTTTTTTTTTGTGCACACAGTAGCATTTTTGAAAGATGTCAGTTAAATTTTTTAGGCATTACAGTATGACTAAATTTCATGGTTTTTAGAACCTATAAAAAATGAACAATAGTTGCTTTGATGATGGTGGTCAGTTTTTCACTGAATTAAATAAAAGTTTAGGTATTGTATTAACCGAAGGAAATGACATTCAAAACGTAAATGAACGAGAACTTAAGCGCGAAAATGAACGAGACGCAAGAATTGAAAATGAGTGTGAGCTATTTTTGTACGAAGGTCAATCGCATGGTGTATCTGCTTTATATAATAATAGCAACGATCAAATACCTTCATCAACTTGCTGTCCAGAAAATAGTGGAAACACTCTCATTCAAGACTGTAGTTGTAATGAAATATTAATAAATAAACCTTGTTTCCCCAATTTTAACAATTTAGCTTTTTCTGAAGAAGTTAATGCAAATCTTGATCCCGTTAAAACAGAATTGACTGAAATAAAAAAATCCGAAGAAGTCCAAACGCTATCTAATTCAAAACCAACTTACGTTGAACTTGTTACAAATGTTGATTATCTTAGTACTTCTGAGAGTTACTGTAGAAAACAGCTACCTACGTATTTAAGTTTATCGAGTGAGTTTTTGTTTGACGAACCTCCCAGATACGAGTTAGTTACCGGGAAGCAACTGAAAAGCCAACTAGTAAGTTTATATTTTTAAAGATTTTAGGAGAGAAGGCAGGTGTAAGCTGAAAGTTAATATTTATAAAATAAAGCTTGCAGTATTTCAATATTATGAATACGTTAAATATCTATAAATAAATAATATAATAAAAAGAAGCGAGTTTTATAAGTTAAATATAATATTGTTACATATATATATATATATATATATATATATATATATATATATATATATATATGTATATATATATATATATATATATATATATATATATATATATATATATATATATATATATTATTTTCAAATAAATAAAAGATCAAAGGACATTTTGATGACATAAATACCACCACAATATTTTTATAGAATAAAACCCTGTTTTTGCTTGCTCGTAAAATATCATAATACATTCGAAGTTTTACTAAAATGAAAATAGCCAGAAAACTGAGCCTATTAAAACAAGTCAACAGTGACTCAACTTTGAAAATCGGTTGCAAAAGGCGTTAAAATTGTTTATACGTAGAAAAGATTATGTGGTTAAGTTTCGAGGCCTTGAGGAAGAGAATAACAATAAAATTTTGAAAAAATAAAAAATTGTGAAGTTGAGCGGGATATTATCATATCATATACCGTATAATCGCCTTAGTTCTGTCACCATGTAACTTCGGTCATTTAAGAAAAAATAAAAAAAGCATGCAAAACTCAAAACTTACAAACTTTTTTTTCTCAAATAATATTTTTAAATAATATATAAAAAATGAATCTATAAAAAATAAATAATGTTTATATGCAACCTGCTGAAATAATTCTTTAGCAAAACAACTATTTGGAAAAATACTATTAAAATTAAAAATAAGCAAAAAAAAGCATTATTGAAATGAATGATTATATTAAATCTTAGTATTATTAAGAATTACTAAATTGATTATATTTACAAAAAAAAAATTAAATTTTGAAAATTTCCTACTTTTTTTATAAAAAATTAGTGAAATTTTAAAATACTCTAACTTCGGCATTCACGGATAAAAAACGAAGGAGACAATTGACAGGAATATTGTGAAATGTTGATAAGTGATGCGAATGTAAAATTTAAAGGTAACCTGTAAGTATACCAGTAAATTTTAACATTTTTAAAATGGATACACACCATGGTTTTTTATTTGAATAAAAATTTTTTCATAATTTTAAAATTAACTGACGGTTCTTTGAGTTCTAAAAAATGTCAAGCTTGTGACATTTTTTTTGGAGATAAAATTACAGCTCAACATGGATGCATTGCGAATCATGTAGCGATTGGTTGTGTGGATTTTGCTGTGCTTTTTTGGTCAACAATACGTGCAAGAACTGCCAATAAACATACAAAACAAAGTAGTGTTTTTTTGTTGATTAAAAAAACCTTTTCAAATTAATTGATAAATATATTTTAAACTTTATTAACCAGTGGCGGAGCAAATGTGATAATGGCCGAAGTAATATAGTAGTTGATTAATTACAATAAAAATTAAAAATACTACTACTTATTTTTAAAAAGACCTTTTTTATGCGCTCCTTCTTGTTTTCTTTGGTGCCGCAAAAGCCTTTTTTTTTTGAGCCAGGGGCAACGCCCTCCTTAGTTACTGGCATTACCTGAATTTATATCATAATTTTACAATAAAACAACATTTAAAACTAGTTTTCATTATTTCTGACGTTAAGTTTGTGACGTTAAGTTTTCTGACGTTAAGTTTGTGATATGTTTTTAGTATTGATATAGTGGCCGAACTTATGAGATGGTATTGAAAGTTCGGTCAAAGCAGATGTTTTCAATTTAAACAAAATATTGAGTACTAGTTTTTATTTTTCATTTTTTTATTTTTACAATATCAATTATGAATTTAATTTTCTGTATGTTTCAGGGACAATTTTTTATTTATGCGTGATAAATATATGATCAAAGCTTAAGTTACCGAACTTATGCGATTTTATATTAAATATTTTGCTGCTAAATTTTGGTTTGGCATAAGATTAATTTTAGTAATATTAATAAAAAAATAATATTAATAAAAACTTTTCAGTTATTTTTAAACTCAACAAAGATCAATCATCTATATAATTATACTACAGAACTTGGTGCTTAGTTTCAATTTGTGCGTTTTTGATTCCAAGTTTTCCCCAAGCGAAAAAATATTGATAGTCAAATAAAAATAGCTCAACTTCAGACATTTAATTGATGAAAATAATTATTTTAAGTCTTACTCAAACCATTCAAATACGCAAAATAATATTTATGGTCTACCTTAATTCAAAAATCGCTCTATTGTCAAATTCCTAAAATTGTTAGTCGGTTAATGTTGAATATTTCGAGTGGAGTTTTTTTATGCAACCCACATAAAAAGAGAGGTTGATGGAGTTTAAGAAAATTTGAAAAGAATAGCAGGGCAAAAATTAAAACAAGGAAAGTTATTATATAAAGGTTATTATATAAAGGTTTATATGACTTTTACAAAGCTTTATACAAAGATTCATTGATAAATTTATAAATCGTAACAAACGCGTATTGTTACGAGTTTTAATTCCGTAAGTAAAGCTAGGTGTGTCGGCTTTGATTCTAGATACCCTAATACTAACTTGAATGAAAATAAAAATATAAATTGTTATACTTAGTAAAGAAAAACAGGGTAGAATAAGGTATACAAATACTAGTTATGACAACAAAACCGGGTAGAATGAGGTGTAACGAACTTGTTATGACGATGTCTTTTTGCTTTTAGAAAACTCTTGAATAAACTTTTTTTAACCTTTATTTGCCGCGTTTTTTTGTGAATAAGATATTCATAAAATATGAAATTTAATTTAAATTTTTTTTTTTTTGTTAAATTGGAAAATAATTTTTGATAATTTTTTTTTCCTTTCATTTTTCAAGAAGCTAAAAAAGTTGAGAATAAAACTCTCGCAAGTAAAATTTGCTATCATTGAACTCAAAATCTTTAGGGATTGCTCATAAATTACGTCATGCAATTTTCGACCCGTCCTCCTGCTCCCTAATCACAACATCATCTCACTTTAGTAATTAGTCCCGTTAGAGTCGTCACAAAACCACTGGCCTCCCTCTCCTCTCACCCTAGAGCGTGACGTAATTTATGGACGAATCCTTACATTGCTTTTTACCCCCGATCAAAAATCTTTTACCAAAATTAAACTTCCTATTTCCGATAAAAGAGTTAATAACGGTAACGGTGAACTGTGAAGTTGAATTAAGTATGTTGTTAACTTGGTTAATGTTATAATTTAATTAAGTTTAATCAGACCACTGAATCTTAGTATTCGAATGTAGGTATTGTATTTCAGTCACAGATGCATTTATATGTTACGTACCATTCGTACATATGTTAAGTACCAAGTCGTACTTGTTGGTGTTTTATCAAAAAAGTCAGTCGAAAAATACTTTAAATAGTTTTATTTAGTGACTTGGCAATTGTTCCAAAGTTGTTTTCAATTATAAATAAAACTTTTCAGTTTTGATGTTGTTTTTACACGAAAATATTTGGATTTCAAAATACTGGACTATTTCCGTTTTCAATAAAATTGCTCGTTATCAATAAAACTAATCAGCCAAAACTGAAAACTGCTAAAAGGTTTGAGACACCATATCTCAACCTAATTCTATTATCTCAACCACCAAAATCTATGCCAGAACCATTAACACCAACTTTACCAAAAATTGCACCATCTTAGCAACTGCTTTCTGAATTTACGCAAGCAACATGTAGCATCAGTATATGTCGCGTAACAATAGCTTCAAAGTCAACTCGAAATTTAACTGCCCGCAACCAAACTTAAACATTGTTGTAACATTGGCTATTCAATAGTAAATTCATCAAGAAGTTAAAAATTTGCAATTGATCCAATTGCTTTGCAACAAATGTTTTGCAAGCAATATGTTAACACAAAAGAATTAGACATTCAAAGATTTGAAGGTCTCATTAAACTTGAAAAACTTTAAAAGGAAGATGATGACATTTCAAAAGCAGCAAAACAAGAACAACTTAAGTATAACTATAACAATGATAAACCAAGCAACAACATATCTTACAACAACAACTTCTACAACAACAACACCTACAACAATAAAAGCTACAACAACAATTTCTACAACAACAACAGTTACGACAACTACTTCTACAACAACAGTTTCTACAACAACAAGAGCTTCAAATTAATGTTAAAAAGTATTGTAAGTTTTTAAAAAAAGATTCAATAAGTCTAAATATCAAACGATATAGCTTGAAAATTCAAAATGCAAGGTTTGGTTTAACCAAAAATCCATACTAGAGCAATATCTAAAAGATTTTATAAACAAAAAGTGCGCCACTAGTCACAACTCTAATCAATCTCCAAAACGTCTTAACGACTCAACATCAAAAAACAAAAAAAAATGTTTTTTTCATAAATGGTTCTTCCTTATAGTTCATTTAAAAAAAAAATTTTTTTAATTTTTTATTATTATTAACTTCCTTTGGTTTTCTTTTTTCATTTTTTTTTTCTTACTATCTTTATGGAAACTTAATTGTTTTATAAAAATATTTTTGTCATTAATATTTATTACTTTCATTACTGCTGTTTTTATTATTACTATTATTATTACAATTGTTATATATTATTACAATTGTTAAATACTATTATTTTTGCTGTTACTTTTGTTCTATTAATGAATAAAGTTATCATTTTTATTTTTATTATTTTTTAAATTAATATTAGTAATAAAATTATTTGGTTTCACTCCTTGGATCAGGTTTCTGCATGAGTGACTCCTTCCTCAATCATTTATTAACATTTATTCTTAATAATTATATTTTGATTTTATTATTTATAATATTATATATATTCTTATTATTGTTATTATTGTTATTATTATTAATACTATTAATATATTATTGTAATTATATGATTGTAAATTTTGAGGAAAATAAATAAAAAATAAATAAATTGTTCTTTTGGTTATCTATTAATTTGTATTTTTCATTCTCACTAAATGCATGAGTAAAATAAAACAAACTTTTTTTCAATAGTTTCTTAAAAAAATAAAAAAATAAATTTATTTAATGTTTAAACACGACTCAAAATTCTCTTCAATATAATCAATATTTGCGATTTTTTTAATTATTTTATAGTTTTACCGAGATTATCTGCTAATTCAATCATATAATTGTTGTGTTACTCTTTTTTATTTATGGTTGTTTAATATTTTTATTTAAAGTTATTTAAATTAAAAGTATAACCTTTTTTTTTTCGTTTCATTATGGCATATATTTTATCACGTGACCAAGACAAAAAATGTTTGATTTTTTTTTTTAATAATATTAAAATATATATGTTTATTTTTAGTTTTTTTAGCCTTTACAATATTGTTCTAAAAGAATATTATTCTAAAAGTCATTAAAAAAACTTAAAATAGTTATATATTTATGTGGCATTCAAGTCGTTTCAAGAAATCTTTGCGGACACGGAGCACAGTGGAGGAGCACAGTGGAGGAGTACTGTTGAGGAAACATTTAACTAGAAAGTTCACGCCTCCTTACTTACCAATGTTGCTTATCTAGCCAGAGCTGGCATCAACCCCTCTCCTCTGGTTCTGAGCCAATACTTTTAACCACTACATCACGACTGCGCGGCATATTGGCTTATTGCGCGGCATATTGCGCGGCATATTGGATTAAACTTTATCGGCAAAAGAATACTTAAAATAAGTATGCTTGAATCACATATTTCATTGGTTTTTCAACTATGCTAACATTGCTTGGTACAACGCTAATAAAAAAATAGAAAAAACATTTTAACAAAAAAAATACATGCGATTAGAATAATTTTCACACGGTCTCTCGCATTCACAAACATTGTTAAATTAAAAGGTCTGAATGTTTATCATCTTTTAAATTTTATAAACAAAATTAAAAAAGAAACGATACTTAATATTTTCAAAACTTTATTTAAAAAAATAAATAAAATACTACGAAATATTCAAATAATAATTAGCGAAACTAATTGATTTTATTTTTAAAATTTTTTTTTTTGATTTAAAAGAGTACCCTGCTTTTTTTAAGTTACAAAAGACTTTTTTTGTTAAAAATAAATTTTCTCAACATTGTCACAAACTTAAATATATTTTGTGCGAATGCATAAATCCTTACAATTCTACAGTTAAAGATGAAATGGTCAATTATTTAAGTTTCACTTAATTTTTGGCACATTCAAATAAAAGACTTTGATAACAAAGTCGTCAACTTACCCCTGCTTTCAACTAGCCCCGGTCTTTCCAATGTTTAAGCTAAAACTAACTTTGAACTCACCATGTTTTCTATCACTATTAAAGACCCTCAAATTCTGAATATTATAATCAATAATGACTTTAAAATGTTTGCAACTTTTAATTATTTCAAATTAAAACTAAAAGAAACAATTTTTAATAATGAAAGCAGTATCAATATTGCATTGTTTTGTATTTATTAAACAGCGAAATAAATGTAAATAAAAAAATAATAATAATAATAGTTTGAAAAATTTTCATTTTATATGCAAAGTTGGAAAAGCTTTTTATTTTATTTTTAATTTGATCACAATACATAAACATAAATGTTTTCTTCTTAAACTTTTTGATTTTATATTTCTTATACTAACCACAAATACCTAAAAATACCTAATAAATACCTAACCACAAACAAAATCCTGAATGAAAACCAATATGGTTTTCAAACTCAGCACTCGACAGAGCATGCTATCGTAGACCTCGTCAATAGAATTAGTGAATCAATCTATGAAAAGAAGTTCGTATTAGGAGTCTTTGTAGACTTGTCAAAAGCGTTCGACACAATAAATCATGAAATCCTACTAAAAAAGTTGGAAAAATACGGATTAAAAAACCATACACTGCAGTGGTTTAAAAGTTACCTGTATAACAGACAACAGTGTGTTGTTACAGATGATAATTACCACAGTAAATTATTAAAATTAACTTGTGGTGTTCCTCAAGGTTCGATTCTTGCTCCTCTTTTGTTCCTAATCTATATAAACGACCTTCCAAAAGTTTCTAGCAAACTTGAATTTATAATGTTTGCAGACGATACAAATTTATTTTACTCTTCGACAAACATCAAGGATCTGTATGATAATGTAAACATAGAACTCCAAAAATTAAATATATGGTTTAAAACAAATAAGTTATCGCTAAACATAGAAAAAACAAAATACACTTTATTTCACTCAAACCAACAAAGAAACACACTACCAAATATTCTACCCTCTCTAAAAATAGAAAATATAGTAATTGAGAGAACTCACGAAACTAAATTTTTAGGAGTTATAATTGATGAAAATTTATCTTGGAAAAGTCACATAAATGCTTTAAACACTAAAATATCAAAAAACATAGGTCTACTTTATAAAGCAAAACCTATGCTGTCGCAAAGTAATTTAAAACTTATATATTTCTCTTTTATACACAGCTACCTCATATATGCGAATATAGCTTGGGCGAGTACGCATATAACCAAATTGAAAACTTTATATCGACGTCAGAAACATGCTGTTAGACTTATCTACCATAAAGACAAATTTACACACACTGAACCCTTATTTAAAGAAATGAATGTGCTTAATATTTATCAAATTAATATTTACCAAAATATATTGTTTATGCTAAAATTTAAATTAGGTCAAGTACCAAACCATTTTTTAAATAACTTTTTTATAAATAACGTTAATAAATATAACACAAGAGAAAAAGGAAACTTTATTACACCTTTAAAAAAAACAAAACTTTCCCAGTTCTCAATTTCATATCGGGGTTCTTATTTATACAACAAACTAGTAACTAAAAATAAATCAATCTGCAATCTAGATTCAATTTGCAATCAAAATTTCTTGAAAAAAAAGTTAAAAAATCTGATACTGAATCTAAACAGATACTCAGAATTCTTCTAAGACTATAAATTAAAATACATATATATCAACTACAAAGTGAACTGACTCGTTTATGTGTATTATCTAAATGAATCTTTTTTTTTTTCTCAAATTTCTCAAACAATATATCAAAATGTGTTTATTACACACAAAAAAAACACTTGATTTTTTCTTATCAAGTTTAGTTATTATGCTGCTAGTTATGTCTAATATTTTATACTGAGCTTATTTTGAGTTTATTTTTTATTATGAGCTAAATTTAAAGAATATATAAACATAGTTGTACTTAATATATAATTATATTTAACATAATCATAATAATATATAAAACACATTGTAAGGGCTTCGTGATAAGATCATTACGATCTTCTTGAAGTCCGGCCTGTACTATTTAATTATAAATTTCACTATATATATTTTGACTCACGAGACTTGTAAATATTAATTTACGAAACTTGTAAATGTTATATGTACGGCAAATATATATGAATAAAAAAAAATATACTACATTTTAACTGATAATAATTGAAAACTATATATTTGCTTTTGAATTATTTTGAAATAATTTTTGTCCCCTTTTTTCTTCTGTTTAGTGATTATTTATTATTAAAATAAAGTTCGAAATTTATTCTTTTTAATTTTTATTTTTTTTGATTTTCATGTATGATGTTTAATGACATATGTGTATTTCTATATTTATTTGCATTTGCAAAATGTTATGGGTTTGCTGATATTCTGTATTCTATTTTAAAATTGTATACTTTTTAAATTCAAAAACTGTTGTATTTAAGGGGAAAATACCAACAACAAAAAAAAAAAGAGAAAGACAAATAAGAAATAGCAACCATAAAAAATGCCACTATTACACCGGTCCGCATAAATACTTAGTTATTGTTGCTACTTTATTTATTTTTTTTTTTTTTTTCCAGTTCTCTCTCTTTCATTTAGATCGGATACTTCTTTCTTGGGTTTAACATTTCAACTAAACAAACTAACATTTCAAATAAATTTATTTCTGCTAAAGAGTATAAGTGATATTTATAAAATACTTGCTAGAAATGTTTAAAAATAAGAAATGTAAAAAAATATTATTTGTTATTAAAAATTATTTATTGTTTAAAAATTTTTTAAAATCTCTTATTGTTTATGTTCCTATTATTATTATTATTTTTTTAGGAATTCTTGCCGTCGACGTCATCAGCGACATCTATACGACAACAAACCCAGCAAAGTCGGAAGAGAAAATTGAGCATCATTATTATGGTTTGTTTAATAATTATACTTGGTATTATTTTTTTTGTATTAAGCAAAAAATTATTTTCAAGCAATCAGAATAGCGGCAGTTCCAGTTGACATTTAACATCACCATTTTTTTTTTTTTTTTGTTGACTCAAACACTTTATTACCAAAAATATTTTATATAATAATGTTAAACCTCTAAAGTTTCGCTTGTTTTAACTTTTTTTTATTTGTTATCATTTTTTCTTTTATAGAAATTTATAGAAATAAATAAGAAGTAGAGAAGTTTAAAGAACAGCCAAGTAAATAAGTCTTAAGAAAAAAAAAACAGTTATAAGAATAGAACCAGAACACAAAAAAAAAGTAATAAAGTAAAAGTGTTACTAAAATAAGACTTCTACATTAGAATTATTAAATTTTATATTATAATATTTTTCTTCACGTTTCCATTGTTGCTAAGAAATATTTTGTAAAGAGATGCAGTATTTTAGATTTGTATATTAACAATCACTTTGTATAAAATATAAACCAAAATAATTAAATAACTAAATATAACTTTTCTACAAAATGGCGTTTTATTTTTTAGTTTTGTGTTAATTGAAGTTTTTTTAATAAGATTTTAGAACGTAAAAAAAATTATATTTAGTCTGACCCTGACCACTACCTGACTGTTTCAATATATCTTTCACAAATATTTGTAGTCTTCGAAGTAAGTTAAATTAAAAGTCCTTTATAAGTCCCTTGACGTGTTTGCCCTTTGTAAGAGAATTTAAATTTTGGTTCTTTATTTTTTAGATCTCAGTATTTATGGCTACTATCTTTTGATTCGCAAAGACTCCAATAGTCACATGTTTGCATTGGGAGTATACTAACGCATCAACTCACCTATTGGTCAAGAAATCAGTTATGAATCCTCATATAATTCTTCTATGTGCTTCTGCACTCCTCAAACCTTTCTCTTTGTTCTCATTATCCTTCTCAAGACTGTACACTTTTAAATGTAAATTATGGGCAAATTAAACACTTACCTTCACTCCTTGATTTGTGTTTTGTCTCTGACACTAGTTCGGGCTCAGTTTCTCTTTTTTCTATTTTAGGTGGTTCCAACCATGCAATAATCTCAATTTATTCTTTTATCTTGTATTTTCTGTACTTCTTCTTTGTAACTTTCACCTAGTAGCTTTTGTACTTTTTTTTTGGACTTACCATATCATCGCACTACTTACTACTACCCTAAAGGTGACTGATATACTTTTCGTGATTTTCTTTGTTTCTTTTCTTGGGCTGATGTATTTTGTCTCTTTGATGAAAATTGTACTTTCAACGTAATCTCCTGAATCCAGACAGGCATGGAAACTTTTGTTCCTTTTTGCGGGTTTTAAGTCAGGCCTCATTCTTGGTTTCAATGGTTTTTAGCCCTGGTGGCTTATCTACGGTATTAGGCTCTACAGACTTTTGAAAAAAAAATCTATTTCATAGCTTTAAGGTAAGTCAAACATTACATCTCTAATTCATGGGTATTATTTTATTACCTATCTCAAAGAAAAGACAGAACTATTTGCAAATAACATTTCGTCCTATTAAACTCTTGAATCTAATGACTACATGTATACTGAAATTCTATTTAAACAGGTTAACCCATTGTTAGACATCCAAATCACTTGAGCTTCCGTTATTAAAGTCATTTCTTAATTGACTCTACTAAGGCTTTTGGTCCAGACAACATTCCTGTTATAGTCTTAAAGAGGGGCTCTTGAAAACTACCTTTAATTCTCTTTAAACTGTTTAATAAGTACTTGCTGAATATTGTTTTCCTGCCTGTTGGAAAATGACTCCTGTGGTTCCTGATTTTAAAAAGTGACTCTTTATAAAGACTCCTCTTTACGACTTTTTTGTTTGTCAAGTAAGATACTTTTAAAAGATTCTTATCCTTCATTTTTAATAACGTTATTATTTTTTTCATTTCGTAAACAAAAATAAAAGAAAATGCTTTTTTTTTAATGGAATATAAAGTATTCGACAAATAACAGAAAAGAATTCATTTTAAAAAATGCATCCATTACAAAAAAATCTATAACTTATCACAAAATCTTCATCTTCTAAATCTTTAGCTAAATCTACAACTTCAAAATCTATAACAAAATTTATGACCGATAACAAAAAAAATTTATAACAATCTATAACTTATAATTGTACACTTTTTTGTTGTTATATGCCTCAGACACCTCAAGGTGTCTGAGTGGCTATTCATAAATGATTTCAGTAATTTTTCTTGATTTTTCGACCCCCTCTTCCCCTCCCCCTTTGTCAAGCTCTATCGATTTTGGCCAAACGCTCTTAAATATGATGTCAGTTTTTGTATCCCTCTCTCCTAAAGTAACATTAAAAATATGTGTAAACACCAGTTGTATAGTAGTAGATCTTCGCAGACTATATTATAGAACAGTTGGCATCAAATATTAAACAAACTAATCAAATTTTATTCTATACCCAATAAACCTTTCTAACTGGGTACCGGCTGGGACCCAACTGGGAAAAACGCTGGAATCCATCTGGGTATCCCACATGGGTTCCATTGCGATTATGTCAGTGGGATCCAACTGAGTCTCATCTGGGATTAGTTTGGGTTTTTGACGGAAAATCCCATATTGAATCCCAGATACTTTTTTCATTTACCACGGGTTTTCTCAATTTTCTTTAGTTTGTGTTTCATAGATTTTTTTTGTATCTCGAATCTACGGAATGTGACAATTTTTTAATTAAAAAGCGTCACATTTTTGAAAAGTATTTTAAAAAGTAATTTAAAAAGCATTTTTAAAAGTAAAGGTTATTTATATTATCTATATTAACATTGCTGTCAGGGCAATAAAATGTAATACGCAAATGAATATTTGGTCTGACATAATTTTTACAAATCAATTGAAAGAACAGGTTTGAATTTCATAATATTTTTAAGCAACAAAAAACTAACATTATACAATGATTTGATGGAAAACCCTTGTACAAAAGTAATATTCTGCCACAGTAATTATCTCATATCGCCACCGTAATCGCATGACAAAATTCTGCTTTAAAGTTTATCATTACGCTTCTTTAATGTTTTCATCCACTTTTACACTAATTATATAAATTAAAAATAAACATTTGAATAATATAATAAATTGTAGTATATATATTTACTAAGTATAGATAAAAATATTTATTGATAATATTATTTAGGGCATACCATGCCATATCTTGCATATAACTAAAAAGCACTAGGCAAACAAAAATACACGTAAAAATCACAAGCTATCTCAATACAGTATTTAAATCGATTATAGTATTATTCAAGATTAGTCAAACATAACGTATTTCAAATATCATGGACCAAAATTTATTGTTTAATTTCATGTTGTCTTTGAGCTACATTTTGTGATTATATATTAAATTTATTTCATAGCAGATTCTAAAAAATATACAACACCCTAATAAATTGGTTTAAAAAATCATTATACATAGATAGCTTTCCTACATTGTGACAATGGCAGCAAGAAATGATGACAATACATGCTGCCATTAAACTATTTAAAAATTGACTATTGAAATCATATTGCATGAATAACATACACACTTTACAATAAATATTATAACTAGTAAATATTATTCTACTAATCAACAGATAAATGAAAACAAAAATAAACTACAATTGAGATACTAAATGAAGTTTATGTATAAAATCTTTAAAATGTATATACATTCCAAATCATGTCACACTACTGTATATGTAGTTTTTAAAAAGTTTTTTATCATATATATTCATAAACTTCTAATGAAAATAATGTAAAACAAACTATTCTCGATCTAAAAATATGTACTATCATAAAAACATTAACATTTCCTAGCAATTCAACAGTCCATCTTCTATTCACAGAATTTATCCATTCACAGAAGTATAGGTCAATAGTCGGAAAAACCTGTGTATTTTGCACATTCTATTTATTTTTTACATACAAAATTTATTTTATTTACTTTATCAAACTCTGTAAACTAATAGTTTGAGATATTAAAAATTGGGGAAAGTAAAACTTTCCTGACCTTTCTGAAACAAAAATATTCAAAATAATGTTGTCAGATTAAGTGTAAACTTACTAGATTTAGATGAACCATTTTTTAGGAGATTTTTCATAACTTTTTATGATTAACAACATGTGTAAAAACATGTGTAAAAAACTAACACTTGTTGAAGTAATGTATTTTCTGTTGTTAATCATAAATTAACACAAACCAACTCTAAAAACAAAACATAGATACTATTGAACCTCTTTAATAAATTTGATAAAGTTAAAAAGTACAAAAAAACATGAATTAAAAATGTATTACCAAAAAATTTGATATCTTTTTTATAACTTTGTAAATAAACATATTATATATGACTATATGATATCATATAATAACACAATGAAATTGACTTAGTATAGCAAGTGAAAAATACAAAACATTTATGGTTATTTAAACATTCAGTTTTTTCAATATTTAGTATCAAAACTACATTTTCAATTTTATGTTGCACTTGAGTAGCATTTTAATTTATTTAATTTATTTCACAACATTCTAAAAAAAACAGCTTCTGTGTCGTTTACCTAGTTTAGTTTTCACTTTGTGTACATATATTTTTCATCTATTTTTAATGGATTTTAGTAAAATAGTTAATGGTAAAACAATAAATATTTAATAGAATAAACAAAACAAGCACTCCATTCATGGATTTTTTTTTTATATTTTTGTTACTAATAGAATAACTGCAACTATTACTGAATTAACAAATAAAAATACTGTAATATATTCAAAAGATATTTACTTTAAAATTGTAAACTATTATATATAAATTATATTAAAAAAAAAATATTTGAACAGTCTCACCATCTATAGCATCCTCAGGAAGCTAATTTATGACATCTTTGTTTTTTATGATTATCGAGCATTCTTTTTGGAGCATACGCTAACAAAATTTACACACATATTTTAATTTTTTATTTATTGGTTTACATTATTTAGTTTAGAACACTTTTTAAAACATTTAACATTTTCGATGTCAAAGATTATGAAATGCACACAAAATGAAGAATAATTTTATCTATTAATCATTTAAAACAAATATAAAATAAGACGCTTTAAGAGAAAATTATAAAAACGTTTAACAAAAAAATGATTGTAAATATAAGAGATTATTTATTATAATACAAATGATTGTAAATATAAGAGTTATTATTATTCAATCATAGCCAATTATTTAAGGCTTAAATATCAACTTTAAACATCTCTCTCCAGAAGCTGAAGAAATGTTGTTAACCTTGTCTTTATCTGGAACCATTTCTGTATAAATTGACATTAAAGCTAGGCCATTTAATCACCTTTTTAACACTCTTCTTCTTGTTTTTAATCTCTAGGTATTGTACCTAGAATTTAATCTTTAAAATATTTGAAAATGTTGGGGAAAGTCATTGTTATGACTTTTGTTTCAGAAATACTAGATGGGGGTTTTGATTGATCTTTCCAAAGAGGCTTCCATAATCCAACTCTGCATGAATAGAGGTTGGATGCAAAGATAGGAATGATAGATATCCTGAAAATTATGAAAGTAAATTTGCCAATCTTAGATTTAATCTTTAATCTTTTAATCTTAGTTAGTTCTTAGATTTAATCAATCTTAGATTTGCCAATCTTAGTTTTCAGGTAACTTAACATGGCGGTTGGAACTGCAAACATCCCATATAAACCATAATGCTTTCCATTTGAAATCTTATATAATTAATAAGATCATTAATAAGTAGTGGTAAAGTGATAGAAAGCTTAAAATAATTAGATGATGAGTCAATATCATGATTGACTTGCTTTCCACTTTTTCTAGTTTTTTGTTTTCCTTTACATTTAAAGCCATAGCTAATTCAAAAATAATGTTGAACTAAATTGTGATATAAATCAATACTATATTTAATTTCTTAAATATAGTTTTGATTAAGCCGGTTTTTTTAGTTGTCAATTAAGCTGGTTTTTTTAATTGTCAATTTCAAGATTCTGAAATTTAAGATATGTCATGTTGATTATCTTAGAATTATAATGTAAAAAATTCAATCCATCAAACTTTTGTTAAAAATAAAATTACATTGAAAGAAAATTCAAACATTTACTATGAAGAGTCTTTTAGTAAAAAAAAATGGCTAGACTTTTCTGTTAAAACCTAGATCCATTTTAAAATATGGTATAAAAACATTTATATCAGGGCATTTTCAAGTCAATAGTTTAACGATGAAATTAAACTGGTGAGATATTTAAACCATCCCGACGGGCATTTGTTTTTAAAAGTTACGATCTAAATGTATTTTAAACATTAATGTTTAAAAGACGTTTAAAAGACATTTAAAACACATTTAGAACGTAACTTTTAAAAACAAATGCCCGTCGGGATATGGTATTGTAAACCAGGCTTGTGGAGCTGACTGTTTTTTTGACGGCTCGGCTCCGGCTATGGCTCCTAAGAAATACCCGGCTCCGGGTTGCATATTTTGAAACCCTATACAGGCTCAGAATAGGCAGAGAAGCGCAACCTGATTCGCCAATTTTGAAAGAGAGGCTTTTGCGCGTAAGTTTTAATCAAAACACATGTCAAAAAACGTATTGAATAATAAAATTGAAATAGAGTAATTGCAAAATAATAATAACAAAAAAAAAAAAAAAAAAGATTTTCTATCCAATTTTGTATAATATAGTACGTTTATTATCTTAAAAAGAAAATTTTTTTTTAATTATTTTGTTTCCTTATGGTTGTTATAACTCTTAAATATAAAAATTACAACGATTGTAACTAACTATAAACCAGATGGTAAAACTTTACTATGCTGTAATTCTTCTACGATATAT